AGCAGGCCATAAAGTACATGTGACATCTACTCTAAGGATGGGTAATAACCTAGGGAAGGAAGAGTCTGGAATGACCATTCAGGGGAAATTTGGGTGATGTCTTCCTCTCTAGCAAATAGAGGGTGAGATCTGCCTCCACAGATAGCCCAAAGCTTACCAGGTTATTAACAGCTCCATTCTCAGCTTTCTGGATGACGTTCAAATATTTGATTTGTATCTCCTCCATTGAGGAGACATCCATGTATGATTAACACTCCTGGTTCTCAGTGTTTCCCTGTGAGTACAGGACCCCTGCGTTCCCAACACTCTCCCTTATCAACCATATGAAGTTGCCATAGGAAAGTCCCTAGCCCTCTGTTAGCACCTGGATATTGGTTTAGCAAGAGATCAAACTGTAGAAAATAAGTTTATTTTCATCATAAATTAAACCAGTGTATTTATTCTACTCCAGCAACATAAATGGGATGAGGTCAATTTATGAACTATCTCAAATGTAGACAAGTAAAAATACTTTTGGTAGTAAATATCAAAGCTGCTGAGATGGCTGGGTGAGTAGAGAACCTTTTACCATGCCTGACTTGAGTTTGATCCCTGGAATGCACACGGCAGAAGCAGAAATCCAAATGCTGCCAGTTGTCCACTGACTATCTACCTAGAGGACCTGGGTTTGATTTTCAGTACCCACATGGTGACTAAGAACTGTCTGTAACTCCAATTCCAGGGGATTCTAGCTTCTCTGTGCAGTATGTGGCTTTGGTGCACAAACATACATGCATGCACAACTCCCACACACATGAAATAAAAATAAAAAATAAGGAAGAAAGTTGGACATAAGGAACTGCTTCCCTTACTAAAACACTAAATAAATAAAATAAAGTCACAGTTGTGGGAACTCTGAGGGAAGCAGTGTGCTGTACAACTCAGCAGCATTTCTCAACTAGAATGGCAGGAAGTGACATGTGAGGGAAGAGTCACCTGATTCCAGGTGAGGTGAAGTTTTATTACTTGGGCTATTTTCTTGTCAGTTTGGTGCCTCAATTTTTACAACTGTAAGGTGAGAAGTTCTTTGCACTTTCTGAGAACTCATCAACAGCAATGGTATAGATCCAGGATAATAATCATTTCACATTCAAGAATAATAAGTTCATTCTCAACGTACTCAAGTTACTAGTTCATGCCCCTCCACTATAGAAGTCAACCTAAAGCACTGTGGTTCTATGGGCACGAGGAACAATTGAACATAATTGCTTTGCAAGGTCACCCAATAAGAGTCGTCTTTAGCTGCTTTAATTGATTATGAGTTTCTAGAGATAGTGATCAAAAAAGTGAACATGTGTTTGGTGATTCGTGATTTAGGAATATGTAATGCACTGCAGAAAGGTAAGCTAAGAACAGTTTGATCAAATACCAGGAAAGCATTTCTAAATAAACCAACATGCATGATAATACATTTCAACTCTGAGTGTGCAGTGGACGGCGTATTTTGAAGAGAGAAATGAGGCAAAAAGACAACACTAAGAAGAGGCTAACCTGGAGTACGGAAGTGGCACTCTCTCCAACAAGCAAGCAATCAAACAAACAAAACACTAGGACCAAGGGGCTCAGTGTCACTTGAGTAGGCTAATTGCTAGAATGTCCTGCATCCTGCAACTGGTGTCATTTTATTATAGAGAAGTAAGAAGATCTGCAATAGGATAATCAATGCAAAGCTCTGGTGTAGGAAAACAGAGCTCTTCATAGCTTTGGTGTTCCGGATTGTGGTTGATCCTGAGTATACTATAGGCGAGGAAGCTTCTGTGATCAGAGATTTTGTGGGATTTTTTGTGCAGCTTCTGTTTTAGCCACAGATGTGCATACTGCCACCTGATGGACATCCCGAGAAGTTGCAACTAAATGTTTTAAATTTTGAAATTCAACTAGAGATAATAAAAAACAACATGTGTTTGTAAACATACAGAAGTTTTTTTTCCACTTATATGTATTTTTTCAGTACATATAAGAACTTCAGGAATAATAAATTCAGGTGAAAAGATATAGAATTCATTGAATAAGTTAAATAGCATTAGCAAGTAGAAAATTCTCAAAGTATTGTTTTATTATTTTAGGAATTAAGGGTCAACGGACTTCTGTGAAAGTTTTGTTAGAAAATACACTTTCAGTTGGCACAATAGTTGGTATATATGATTTTTTTTTATCTCATCAAGATCCAGCATGTGCTTGATGCAATTGTGGCAAGCATTCTGTTGGACTATGGCCCTCCTGGCACATTTTGAAGTCATGCTTTGTCATCAGGTTTTATCTCAAGAAGAAAGAACCAAAGACAATAGTAAAGATGCCAATACACATGCCCAATTTTTAATAAAGTCCTTGCTTTTGTCCTTTACAATATGGATCTTGAGCATGGGGAGAGCACTGCTGGAAGGAGTATGTAGAAATTCTGGCAGTTCAACCTTCAAGGGAAATGTAAAGCCGATTTTCATTCCTTCCATTTCAAGGTTTGTGCTATTCTCCAAAGTTAGAAAACAAAATACCTTTTGAAGAAAATTGAGTTACCTAGTAAAGGAGAGGCATGCATCATTTTTTTTTTCTTTTTTGCGGGGGTTGTGGAGGTGTTATTAACTTAGTGGAAAAAAGATCCTGGAAAAGTGAGATGACATGATAATGTAGAAGAAAACCCAGATAAAGCTGATCCATGAAGGTGAAAAGGATCTGAAGAAAGAATTCATGGACAATGAAAAAGAATAGAGATAATACCAAGACAAGCATTTCATGTATGCCTTCTACTCTTTTAAAAAAAATAGGTCTTTTCACACAAAAGACTGAATATGTAAGAGTAGAAATACAAGAGTGCTCACACCAAAGACAATGTGTTTTCAGCGTGTATTCCATTCTGTAGCCTTTAACCACTTTTCAACACAAGCGCCCTTCAGTATCACCTGCTCTTTCTGCATCACTTATATCGCTTTTGCTTTATTTCTTTAGAGTTAATACGTTTGATTCCACAAGTAAAAGTATCATTTTCTATGTCAGTAACCAAATGCAGCAGACCCACATAATAGCTTCTCTGACCTATTTCTTACTTGACAAAACTCCTGATGAAAACTGTATTCCTGTTAAGCACACATTGTTACATTTTCCACTAACCATATTTCACTTGCTTGGCACATGGAATATGAAGAAGTATTGATATAATAAGTGCATAAATAAATAACACATTTTTATAAAGAAATGGGCAAGGTTTGGGAATATATAGACTGATTACACATAAATGTTATTATACCTAGCACTCCTCTGCCTGTTATTTTCATTGAAAAACAAAACTTGGTAGTTTTTTGTGCCAGCACCTATGGTTACCAGTAGCACAATGTAGCACTACATGCATACTTAACAATGCAGGCATACCACGTTTTATTCACTGTTCTTCTATTGTTGGTAATATTCTTTGATTGTACGTGGACTCTGCACTGTATCTTGTTCCAAAGAAAGCTGCGTTGGCAGGGAAATTGCAGACTTGAGATAAACTATATATAATAATTGATTACTAGATTGATGAACCTCGGTTTCCCTCGTGATTGCATTGTGGCTTTTAGCCTCAATCTTGAAGCTGGGAGAAGGGTGTATGGGGACCCTGGAAATATTTGTAAGTCTAAAAATTGAAATAGTTAAACAAATTCTGTGAGCCCAGTTCCTAGGTGGAATGGGGGAAGAAGAGGGTGAAGGAGAGACCACCAGGGTGGATTCAGCAAAGGTGGAGAGTCGGAGCAGCAGGAAGAGACCACATTTTCTGGTCCAAGTTGAGGAATTTGTATCCTTTACTGCAAGGAGTGACAGTCAAAAGGCTCCAAAGCCCACAAGGAAGTCAAGTCTGCACTTTAGAAACCTCCCCGAAAACCAGAAATGCTGTGGTGCGCACATGGGGCTGGTGCGGGGGACACCCAGGACACGCTCAGGGCAACTCAGCAGAAGGCAGCAGAAGGAAGGGTCTTCAGGAGATGGAAATTTTATTTCCAGGGCTGTGACAGGAATGGTGAAGGATATTTAGGTGCCAACTGCTTTTGGGCTCGGTGCCCAGTTCTACGCGCTGTGAGCAGGAGCCTCGAGATTCCACCACAGCGAGGGAAGGGCAGACCAGGCCTCGAGGGCTGAACGTTGGTGTCTTTGCTCTTCATCTTCCGGGGGTGACACCAGGCATCCCTCATCCCCTCCTTTAGCTGGACCTGCTGGGGAAGAAGGTACAGCAGGAGCCCTGTCACCCTCAGCCCGGGCCTGACCCAGCAGTACAGGTACTGAACTTTAGAGCTCATACTACCAAAGGCCATAGACCTCAGCAAAGGAGCCAATTAAAATGGTCTTTAAAGGTTCCAATCTAGCTGAGAGGGCCCATTTTGCTATGGTGTATAGCAATTTTGTTGGGATGCAGTCTTAAGGGCTTTCCTTTCTTTCGACTTAATGTCTATTACCCATTCCTGATGTTAACAGCTGTGAAAAATCCATGTTGTGTTTCAGAGAACACCAGTGATTTTGTTGTAAAATCCCTATAATCTTGGAGTTAGCAGGTCTGAAAAGCATGTTCACTGCCAATTAACATGTTCTGCTGAAGGTGTAAGAGACCACCACATTATTAAAAAATAAAGAAAATACAGTGTAACTTTACAACTTTACAATGTTAAAGCACACACATGGTATGGCTTTACATTATTACATACCTAACACACACAGTATGACTTTACATTATTAAAACACACACAGTGCAAACACACACACACACACACACACACACACACACACACACACACTGACTAGTTTGTTGTGAGAATCCATACCCAGCATGCACTAGTCTGCCTGTGACATTGCCTTCTCTTTAGAGGCCAATCTGAGCTGGCCAGCATTTTCTAAAGGGAAATTGGACATTAAGTACATCAAGATGCTGTTGGGGACACAGATATAACAGTGTTTATATTCTCTCATGTCTCATATTTCTTTATCCTTTTCTGCAGAAGGAGACAAATGGCAAGCAAAAAACGAGAAGTCCAGCTCCAGGTGGGTCTGTCCTGCCAGCTGGTCTTTGTCTGGTGCAATGACATTTTCTACATCTTACAATGATTTTCTTTTTGTAGTCAATCATCAACAGTCAGAACCTATGGGATGAGATGTTGCTGAATAAAGGCCTAACAGGTACTGGGGCACTCTCATCTCTGTATCCAGGGTTTGTCCCCTAAGCACTTGGGGACACTTTGCAGAATTCTGTTTCAAAGCTGCCTTCTTGCTCATTTGGGGCGGGAATGTGCCAGTCTCTAATTCTTGGACTCTGTCTTTTCATTAACATCACCATCTTCTAGTGATTGATGTATACCAGGCCTGGTGTGGACCTTGCAAAGCTGTGCAAGCTTTATTCAGAAAACTGAAAAATGAACTGAACGAAGATGAGATTCTTCATTTTGCCGTTGTAAGCTTTATATTTTCATCCAACTTGTTTCCTGTTACATCAGGACTGAAGGACTCCCCAGTATTTCAAGTATTGTCTTAACTTCAACCTGCCAATCTTCACTCTAACCAATGTTTGCTTTTGAGTTTTACTATATGTTTAGTTCTATAGTCTGAGAATTAGTTATGAATTTTACCTAGTTTCTGTGATGCTGAGATAATTCATCATGACTGTAAACCTTAGGAAAATATAAAAAATGGACATATGTCTGTTGATATTTCTTTTACTTAATGATATGGTCAATATGTGTCCCTGAGGACATTAAGATTGTGGGGTGCTGTGTCCTTGGGATCATGGAGTAGATCCCTAGATACTTATCTATGCATAAATATTTCAAAGGAAGTAATTTCTCTTTTCATCTATTAATTATAAAAAGTGATGAGGTTAAATATCATAGTCAAATTTATTTAACTCATATTGATTATTCGATTTATCTATATCCAGTTAACAATTGGTTAGAATCTTATTGTCCAATGTGTCGTTGTGTACGAATAGAACACTTGAGATCTATCTTGATTAATTTCAGGAATGAATTTTTAATTTTAATCAATTTAATCTTAAAAACTGAGGACTTTTGAGATAGCACAGGGGGGTAAAAGCACTTGCTGGCAGGCCCGGTGACATGAGTTTGATCCCTGGGACTCAAATGGTAAAAGTAGAGATAGATTCCCTCTCTTTGTCTATCTGCCTGCCTGCCTGCTTATCTGTCTGTCTTTCTGTCTCTCTTACACACAAGTAAATTTTAAAAACTTAAAAACTGATATTACTAAATTAAATTATTGTGAAATTTAATATTTGGCTATATAAATCTACTTGTATTAGAGGTCAATTATTTATTAACAATTATTTAATATTAATCACTTTTAAGATTTATTATGGAAAGAGTATTTTCACATTGAATACATATTGAACTGATATTGAGTTAAGGAAAATAATGTATTACTTTACTTTCACCTGTTTCTTTCATGTGACTACCAGAGAAGCTAAAATACATTTCTCTTAGACAGATGCATACCTGAGTCAGTAAGGTATAAACTGCTGAAACAGTGAACCCCAGATCTATAAGCTGCATAGTCTGTGAGCAAACATGAAACATCCACCCACTGCATGTTTTTGGTGTATGCCTTCACTGCCCTTCATGACACCCTTGGAGTCAGTTTACTTCCTGACCTCACAGACTGTCAACTAGCCAACCCCTTCTGCACAAACATTTTGTTCTTCTTTTCTTAATAATTTTAAATTTTGTACACATATGTGTCTCTGTGTATCTCCATCTCGCCTCCCTCCCATTTTTCTGTGTTTGAGTCTCTCTGTGTGTAAGACATTGTGTGTGGGTGCATGCATGTTGAGTGCAAGTGTACCAAGAGGCCAGAGGTGTTCGAGCCCCTGGAGCTGGAATTACATGTGGCTGGAAAAGCATTGCTTTCCTAAGAGGGCAAGGGAGACAGCCCCACACCTGTAGGACAGCACTGAAAGAGAAAGTCTGCCTGGGTGGGAGGACAGTCAAGTTCAGTGTGGAGCCAGAAGAGAGCTATCAGGAAGGAGTAAGAGATATTCTTTGCATCAAGGACACTTGGGCTGGATTGGAGGAGTAATGGCAGGACCAGACAGAGAGGAAGGTAGAAACACAGAGGTGAGTTTGGCTAAAGGCACCAAAGAACACAGGGCTTGAGTTACTAATGCATGCAGTTTGATCCTTAACACAACTGTCACAAACCCAGAAAATGTTGCAGTCCCAGAAAAATGATACATATACACATCTCTATGTCATTTGGACATAGCATACAGAATAGGGTGAATATTGATTTCTCATTATTGTCTAAAATATTTACAATATCCTTCAGGCTGAAGCTGACAACATTGTGACTCTGCAGCCATTTAGAGATAAATGTGAGCCTGTGTTCCTCTTTAGTCTCGTAAGTACAGCTTTTGTCATCTCATTATCAGAGTCTTGTGAAGGAGCAGGTAACATTGAAAATTACCACAGAGCTGTTTTCTGGTGATAGTAATTGCACACTGTTTGCCTTATCTCTGTTTGTCTGATAATAAATTTAATAATATGCCTTCAGGGAGCTTGTTAAGACTATCACATACTGAACTGATTAGAAAAAAAGACAAATAAATTGGCATTGACCTGAGTGAGAAACTGTTCTCAGATGAGCTACAGCAAAGCAGTAGTTCTAAGAACTCATGGATTTGTGTGAAAGTGACTGTCTAATCATTCTTTCTAATGCATTCTGCTCCCATCTCCATGTTTACAAATGTTTAGGAATATCATGGAAAATTTATTCCCGAGTTGTTCTCATTGTTTTCTTCACAGGGGGTGGAGGTGATCTTATTTCTTCTTTACACTTGTCTGCATATACCTATATTTTGCATTGTACGACAACTGCAATAATCAGAAAACAGTATAATAAACATTGTTTCCTAAGTGCACTTAAATCTTTAACCATGTGGTAGTCAAGAGAAGTGTCAGCCAAAGCAAATATCACTTGGTCAACCTTCTAGTCCTGGGTACTTAGTTTTCAATAGTAGAAATAATTATTAATAGCACATCTTGTATAAAACTTCTTGCAACTATTTCAAAAATTGAATTATTGACTTAAAGAAATAAAAATACATCATGTTCTTGCATTATATTGACTGTATAAGTACTTGATTTCCAGCTTTTGAAGCAATATGGCCTTTGTGTAGAGTGACAGTTTTGAAGCCACCTATCATGTATATAGTTTATGGAATCAGGATGAGAAACTGCACAAAGGCAAGGACCATCTGCTTCAGAACATTCTGCCTGCAAAAAGTGGTGATATTTTTCTCTCAAATTTTTGTAAGACCTTGAGCAAAGTAGAGGTCTCTTTTACTTCCTATCACTTATACTTCAGTTGCTTTATTTTCCTATGTTTGATAGAATTCACTACATTTTCTTAATTTTCTTTTTTCCCACCTCAGTCCTGTCACTTCTGATCTTAGAGTAAATTCTGTTCATAACCTTACAGTTTGTCATGTGGTTCAAAGTCTGACTTACAAACCCATGTTCTCCTGTCCTCCTGGAGGTTTCCTTATCTATGTTGACACATCACTCTGCCCTGGCTTGTAAATTCTTAGTATCCTTTCCATCAAGGTTCTTTCCTCCCAGGGAAAGAACCATCCACTAAGCCCTGTGTTCAGGCCTTAGGCACTCTGTTCTGAACACACCACATGGAGGACCATTTATGGGAGAATAGTATTCCCTAACTACAAAACTGCCCTCCAGCTGACCATTCATTACATAAACTCTCCCATCCCAACCTCTTTTATTAGCCAGGCTTCTCAGCTAACAAAAGCTTCATTCTAGCAACAGCTCTGCTCAAGAGAATTGTCAGGCTGGTATCATCAGACTGAGAATACTTAGACCTCCAACAAACACAGGCAGACATCTTCTCTTGCCTTCCACTCTTTCCCACAATGCAGAAAAGAATCTTCACAATTGCAATTTTAATTATGGGGCTGGAGGGATCGCTCGGCAGTTAAGTGCACATCACCCATACCAGGGTCTCACAGTCATCTGTAACTCCAGCACCAGGCATGCACACGTGCATGCGCATGCGCACAGGCACAGACACACACACACACACACACACACACACACACACACACACACACACACCATTCAAAGTCCTTATTTCAGTAGTCTAATGGTTTTTGGCTGAGGGAGTGATGTCTTCTTCCAAGGTGGCCAAGGCTTCATATTGTCTGGATCTCTCTGGGTGTTGAGACTATGCATAGTGAGTTTGTTTAATAAGGTTAGATACACACCATCATGCCTGGTTCTATGTCCATAAACAGATGCCTAGTGCATTGCATATAGTAAAAAAGAAACAGACAAAGAGGGTATAGCATCTATCTTAGTTTATTAATCTGACACAACAGTCATCTACCAGCCATGTCTTAATTGAGGAATTGCTTGAATCAAATTGAATCAGATTGGGCTGTGGACATGTTCCTGGGTGCTTGGCTCGATATTGATTGATGTAGAAGGACCCAGCCCCTTGTAAGTGGCACTTTCTTTAGGCATGCAGTCCCAACCTGTATAAGAATGCTGGAGGGAAAGCCAGAAAGCAATTTCCTCTATGGGTTGTACTTCAAGTTCCCTCAATCATAGATTGTGATAGAGAAGAATAGCCCATATAGACATTTTCCTTCCCAAATTGCCTTTGGTCAGTGTGAACAGCAACATAAAGGAAATCAGAAACTCAGTAGACCAAATTAAAGGATCTTCCTAGAATCCCTCCCATTTAAAGCAAATATGAATGAGGCATGTATCTGGTGAGTGCTCCTGTACATGATGAGGATACAGGCAGACCTGGCTGGTAGCATAAGGATGCTTAAGAAGATGTGGATACAGCCATGACTTGTGTAGAGGACAGACAAGTGTGGAACTCTAATCACTGACGTTACCAAATCAAAGTGAACTGTCCCATCATTTATTACTTTCAAATGGCTGATTATAGTATCCTAAAGATGATTGGCTGGAATATGGGATCAAGGAGAGAGAACTTAGTCCAGAGTATATGTTAATTATTGATTTAACATGAAAATGAAAGTCTCTTAATAATCTCCTTTCTCTTGTAGAATGGTAAAATTGTTGCAAAGATTCAGGGTGCAAATGCACCACTTATCAATAAGAAGGTCATTAACTTGATAGACGAAGAGAGGAAAATTGTAGCAGGTGAAATGATTCGTCCTCAGGTAACACTATTGATGAATGGCAATTATAACTTTTGAAATGGACCATACTTTGTGTTCTCCTAAAGCATTTTCCCTAATTAGATGTGTCAGGCCACTTTATGTCACTGTGGTAAAATACCCAAAGCAGTTGGCTTATAAAAAGGAGAGGTGTGGTTAGGCTCCTGGTTTCACAGGAGTCACTCTATTGTCTATCCTTCCTATTGCTGCTTCAGGGTTGTGACAAGGCAGCACATCATGTTAGGCACTTTGTAGAGAGCCAAGTCACTCTATTTATGGGGGCTGAGAACTGAAAAAGAAAGAGAGGAATAGACCAGTGTCACACAGACTCCTTCAAGGGCATGTCTCAAATGAATTATGTTGTTGCAACTAGGCCTTACTTAAAACTGTCCACAGTCTCCCACTAGCACCACAGACTTGGGCTTCAGCCTCTGACAAATGAGTCCTCAGGGACACTTTATGTGAATTATAGTGCTTTCTATCTGTCTGGGTGCTGACATGATACAGCTTCCTCAGGAAATATCCTGCTACTGCAAATCAAAGAATAATTTGTGTTTTGCCTTGTATTCCCCTTGCCTTTCAATTACCATTAACATCATTTCTAGGCATTCTTTGACTATAACACTAAAGTAATTGTCTACTTACAATTATCTGTAACGTGTACTGTTTTTCCGCCTGCCGCCGCTGGTCTTGTCCTGCTGCCGCACCAGCCCCAAATAATGCACAGAGACTCTGTATTTGATACAATGCTGTTGGCCCTGTTACTTGTTTCTTATCGGCTAGCTCTGCCTTAATTATTAACCCATTTCTGCTGATCTATGTATTTCTCTTACCGGGAGCCGGTGGCATACTGCTTTCTCCAGACTCTCCATCTTGACTCCTCCTTCCTACTTCCTATTTCCTCCTTGTCTCCTAGTCCCTCCTATCTTCCTTTCCTATTGGCCAACAGTGCTTTATTATTAACCAGTATGAGAAACATACAGAATGACATCTCCCATCAATTATCTTTCACAGTATATGGAAATTCCACTAGTAGATCAAACTGAAGAAGAGCTGGCGGAATCACAGTATGAAAGTGTTGGTAAGTAAGAAAGCAAAGGAGTCTGGTAACTGTTCTGCATGTGGAGCCCTTCACTATGCTGCTGTGGCAATGAAGAGCTGTTGTATTGGTGAGAGTCAGTACAGGCTGTTCCACTGTATAATGGCTCGTGTCTTTTGTCTAAAGACCTTCAAAGCTTACCCAGGAGCAAGGGTTCCTTTCTATCTTCTGCAAATGATCTGGGAGCCACTTTCCAGTTCATCTTTTACTTTCAAATCTTGAGAAAAATAATTTCTTCTTTGAATTCAATGTTTTTTACTTATTCTCAGTTGAAAATCCCATGCCTTTACTGGAGTCTCTACATCAGTATTACTCAACCTGTGAGTCACAATCTCTATGAAGTCAAAGGACTCTCTCATGAGGATTTCCTAAGACTGTCAGTAGCTATTGACATTTAATAAGGATCAGGAGAAACAAATAGGCTGAATAGATGTTTACTCAGGGAGAAATAGGCTGAATAGATATTTATTCAGGGGGAAATAACTCACAACATAGACAGATGAACACCAGCAGTTTCCTGGTCCCAAAGATGCCACTGGATGTCCTCCTGTACCTGTGCTGCAAGAAAGAGAGCTCTCTGAGCTCTTCCCTCAGCCTTAGTTCCCCAGGTCACGACCAGCCCTGTCTCCACCCCCAATGGACGTGGTCTATGCCACAGATGCGAACAAGGTGAATATCTCACTACACTTCCTCTTTTAGTCTAAAGAAAAGATTTGGGCTAGATACAAAAACTATATCCAAAACAGTGAATAACAAGTGTTCTCTAAGAAAAGGAAAATTGAGAACATACAAACTTAAGGCCTAACTATCTAGTCCTAGGATGAAGTTCAAATGGGGTTTACAATAGAGTTGTCCTAAGCTGGAGAGCTTAAGTCTAGTACCTAATATATCTAACTAGGAAGAGAGAATAATAGTTGTGATAATTTAATCCTCAACCTCATCAAAGGCCTGAGAAGGAAAATAATAATACTAGGGTAGGCAGGAAATGCGGATGGGCAACTTCCAAAACAGGATAGAAACAGCATGCTACCTGGACAGTCACCCAAGGTCTCACAGCAATGTTGGTACAGCCAGTTTTGGCTAAGGCCTAGAGTATCTGGCAGACCACAACAAAAGCAGGAAGGTAAAAAGGCTGTCTTACCCTGACTTGGCAGGGTTCAGCAGTCATCTATGTTTGTCTCCTTCAAGCACATAGGACCGCACGTCCAAATCAGTGGTCGAGGTGGGGGGCAGTTCTTTGCCCAAGAGACCATAGCTGAATGGACTTCAGGAGGAGTGACAACAGTGTCGGAGATTTTTCGGGAAGGTGCATGGTGCTGTCAGGAGCAATAGTGTCTCATGTCAACAGAGTACTAATATTAAAACATTTAAATGCCATATTCTGCAGGTCTATGAATTCTTTGAAGATTAAGCATCTATTTCTGACTAATCTCATAGGTATAGGAAACATGGGTGAAGATAATCTGTAATACGCAGGAACTTAGTTATAACACTGATTGACACTGCCCTGAGTAAAGTAATACAACTATGTACATATATACACATGTAAATCCCTAAAGCAGAGATAGAATAGAAATGTCTAGACCAGAGACAGAACTATAAAGTGCAGCATGATAAAAATATCCTAAATTGTATCAATATACAAAATTGTCTTGAACATAAGTAAAAGTATACATACATAGAATATGGTAAGAATATTGTGCAAAAACATCATAATTAGAGAGATTTTCACAATATGACAAAACATACAGTTTATATACAATTCTGGGAAGGTAATAAACTTAATTTTACATAGGTTAACACATATAAGAATCTATAACCATGTAAGCTGTATGATACTATTATGTCACTATTACTAAAATAATTCACATAAAGATAGGCTAATCTAATCTACCCATATCCCATCTAAACCATACCTTTTCCAACCATACCTTATCCCTGTCTAAAAGAGAAGATACCAGAGTCTAAGCGTCACCTTCCATACCCAACCCTAAGATGAATATTTTCCCTAAATGCTTAGAGTAGGGAAAGGGGGCGTTGTTATCTTAAGATTACTTCCTGCTGAACTGGGACAATGATTGCTCCATGGGATCCTGTAGGAAGAAAATTTTTAGCAACAAAATTTCGACAGGACTGGCTGTGACATGTGTAGCTAGTCACTGTGTGGCAGGAAATGTTCACTGGAGTTCTATCTGAAATTCTGGCCATGGTGTAATAAGTAGGTACACCATAATAGCTAGCTAGTCAGGAGTTGTCTCAAGCAAAACAGTCTCAAACCGTTTTTAGGGTGATGTTTGTAGTCCAGATGCATCAGGTTGAGTCAAGTGGAAATGACAAAGTGGGCCCCATTTTCTTTCCAGAGAGTTCAAGGATTGCTGTTAGGGATTGTTATTATTACTCATGGAAAACTTAAACATCAATATCAAAGTAAAATTTTCAAGTTTTTAGGTATGCATATAGGGAAAGGCAACATTAAGCATCAAAATGTATATGAGCAAATTAGTACTTCCAAGAGAAAATTGCATATAATCAAATGAGTCCCCAGATTTTGTTTTTTTCTGCCTTACACCAATTGGCTTCTTGATATAAGGCAGAAACTGTGAATTTAATCTTTACAACGTGCTTGAATTTAGAGAAGGAAAGCAAAATCCAACTCCAAAGCCAGCATTGGTTTATATGAATTGGGACTAGAGGAATACTAGATATTAATCTTCTGACGTCAAGATAAAAGAGAAATAGATTTCTGTTTAGAAATAGTTTATGAGAATTAAATATTTTTACCATAAACCAGATTCCTTTTCATTAAGTAATTGTTTCTGGAGAGCTATCTTCTCTTCTGTAGGTACCTACATGTTTAGTGTCTCTTGCCTGTTTGAAGATGGGTGTTTTCTGTTTTCCTGTAAGGACAAAAAAAGAGCACTTTCCCTAACTTTGAGAGGTCTCTGCACATCTCATGGGGCCCAATTTGTTGGATGAATTGTCATTTCTTTACATTAAGATGTTTCTCTTGTTCAACTAGGATCTTGATCAACTCAATTGGTATCCATAGCTTTTCTTCCCCCATGATACAAATGCAAAACTCCTACCCCAACGTAACATATATCCTGGTTTCCATACTGAAGTCAATACATCCTTGAAGTATACCAGATGATTTAGTTCAGAAGTTTTTTTCTATTGTCCAGTGTCTTTCTGCACCTGTTATTCCTTTTTCATTAGCATTAAGAAAGTTTAATGTTAATAAAGCATTATGTAACCTACGATTGGGTATCTTGGTTCCTCCTGCCTATTTATGGAGCATTTCCGTTAAAGTACGATTGGATTGCTTGTCCTGTAGGATTGTGTGGTATACCAGTTATGTGTTTTATGTTATAATACTCAAAAAACTGTTTAAATTTGCTGGAGACATATGCTGGAGCATTGTCAGTTTTCATTTGTGTAGGTATGCCCATAATGACCATTACCTCTAATAGGTGTGTGATAACAGAATCAGCCTTTTCAGAGCTCAGAGAAGTAGCCCATTGAAACCTATAGTGTGGTGCACATATTTTAATTTCCCAAATTCTGCAAAGTGAAACACATCCATTTGCCATATTTCATTTCTATTTATACCTTTAGGGTTACTGCCTTTTGGTAAAGGAGTTTGGTTATAGCATGAGCAAGTAGGACATTTCCTTACTATTTCATTAACTTGTTGCCAAGTGATAGAAAAAATCCTTTTTTAAACCTTTGCTGTTCACATAGTGTTTCTTATGAAACTCCGAGGCTTCTAGCACACTTCTTATTAACAACCGATTAATTTCATCGTTGTCTTGTGCTAGGGGACCTGGCAGACCCCTATGGGATCTCATGTGTTATATATATATATGACGAGTCCTATTTCTGATAGTATCTTGTAAGTGTATAAACAATGAAGTTAATTCTGAATCATTGGGAATAAATTCTGCAGTCTCAATGTGTAATACTACTCTCTCTACGTATTGAGAGTCAGTAACTATATTGAGTGGTTCTGTAAAATCCATAAGTGCCATGAGAATGGCATACAATTCTGCCTTTTGTACAGAATTGTAAGGGCTTTGAACTACTTTACTTTTTCCCCTGATTTATATTCTGCCTTACCAGATTTGTTTGCATCAGTGTAAAATGTAGGAACTCCAGAGATAGGTGTTTTCATACAATGCTGGAAGGATCCAAATCGTTTTCTTTATGAATTTGATTCTTTCATTTTTGGGATAATTGTTGCTAATCATTAATTACTGCATGCTCTCTGTCAATATTCATTATCTTTCCATAAGGAGGAAATTTCTTCATTAGTTAAAGGTACTATAATTTCTGCTGGGTCCCTTCTTGTCAGTTGATGAAGTCTTAATTTACCTTTTATAATCAAGTCGGAGATCTTTTCTATATATGTTTTTAGTTTTTATTTTGTTTATGTGGTAGAAACATCCATTCTAATATGATATCTTCCCTCTGCATCAAAATCTCTGAAGCATATTCTCTAGATGGTAATATAACCAGAATACAGTCTAGTTTTGGATCCACATGGTCCACATGTGCTACTAATATCCTCTTTTCTACCCATTCTAATTCCTTTTCAGCTTCAGCTGATAGTATTCGTGGACTATTCAAGTTCTTGTCCCCTTTCAGGGTCATTTTCAAGTTTTTCAAATCATTCATTTCTATTCCAATAATGGGTTGTAGTTGAGAAATCTCTCCTAGTAATTTTTGAAGATCATTAAGACTCTGGTAGCGATCTCTCCTAATCTGTACTTTTTGTGGTCTAATTTTCTATAGACCTATTTTATATCCTAAGTAGTTGATAGAATCTCCTTTTTTGTATGCTTTTGGGTGCAATTTGTAATCCCCAACGAGCTAAAACTTTTTTTACTTTCTCAAACATTGTTTCCAAAATTTCTACTTTAGAATAAGCTAACAATAATATATCATCCATGTAATGGTAGATTATGGATTGTGGAAACTGTTTACTTAATTATTTCCAACGTTTTTTGCACAAAATATTGGCATAGAGTGGGGCTATTTAGCATTCCCTGTGGCAAAACCTTCCATTTATATCGCTTCACTGGTTGAGAATTATTGTAATAAGCTACAGTGAAGACAAATTTCCTTTATCTTGTTCTTGTAAAGGTATAGTGAAGAAGCAATCCTTTAAATCAATAATTATAATAGGCCATTCTTTAGGTATCAAAGAAGGCAAGGGCATTCCAGGCTGTAGAGAATCCATTGGCTGAGTAACTTTATTGATGGCCCTCATGTCTATAAGCATTCTCCATTTACCAGGTTTCTTTTTGATAACAAATACAGGAGAGTTCCAAGGGCTGGTAGATTCCTCGATATGTCCAGCATTTAGCTGTTCCTGAACCATGTTTTCTAAAGCCTCTAACTCTTCAGAGGTCAAAGGCTAATGTACTACCCAGACAGGTTGAACTGTTAGCCATTTTAAGGGTAGGGCTTTTGGTTCCTCTGTTTGTTTGGCACTTTTATTATGTTTTTGTATAGCCTGGATATTTGGTGTCTGACTTGTGTAGTATTTTATAATACTTTTTCCACAATCATAAGGTCATTTATGGTTCATATCTAATACTGGAGGAATGTTAATCTGTGCATTCCATTGCTGTAATAGATCATGACCCCATAAGTTTATTTCTATATCAGCCACATATGGTCTCAACCTTCCTCTCTGTCCTTCTGGTCCTATACATTCAATCCATCTCGTGCTCTGTTTTACCTGAGACAGGGTTCCAATCCCTAAGAAGTGAACATTTCCTCTTGCAGGGGCCATCTTGGAGGCCAAGATTTATTAGTTATGATAGTTATGTCAGGCCCTATGTCAACAATCTCTCCAGTCTGTTATTCATTTTAACCATCAATCTAGGCCTATGACTATTTATAGAGGTTTGCCAAAATATACATTTTTTGTTTCCTTCTTTTGTGTTTGATTCACCTTCTATCACTAGTTTGTCATCTACAGCAGTATGAGTTTTTATGATAGGCACTGGATTTTCTAATTGTCCTGTGGGAGATTGTCCTCCACTGTGATTGGAAATGTCCGGACCACCTTTGACATAGGGGCCTTCAAGAGGCCCCCCCAAGGAATTTCCCAATTGTAAAGGGTTTCCTTGTTTATCTCTGGTAAATCTACATTCATTGGTCCAGTGTCTGCCTTTGCAACACCTTCTACATATCCCAGAAGGCTGAGGCTGGGAGTGTTATTTCTAGAAATAATTTGCCTACAATTTTTTTTAGATGTCTTATCCTATCACAGTTAAAATATCTGACACTTTGATATCTTTTCAAACCTTTGGAGATAGCTTCTCCTACTCAAGCTTCTATGTCACCATAGTTAAGACCTCTGTTATCTTTATGTCTTCTCGGACTTTTAGATATGGCTTCTCCTACCCAAGCTTCAGTGTTATTGTCATTATACTCAATGTTGGCTGTATATAAGACCCATTCATACAAGGGTGCTGATTTGATTTTTAAAGGCCAAAGCACCTGTTTGCACTGTGGATTTGCATTCTCATAAGCTAATGATTCTATGAGTATTTGCCTAGAATCTGTATCTGCTACCTCTAATTGTATTGCCCTAGACAACCTTTCTAGAATACACTAAAGCATTCTCTTGGTCCTTGCCTTATCTTAGTATAGGATTCTATCCTCTCCCCTAGTTCATGAACCTTGTTCCAAGCATTCAAAGATGCTATACTGCATAAAGACAAGTTGTGGTCATCATAGGCAGCTTGAGTTTCTGGCTCCTGGGTGAAAACCAGGTCCAGTGAAAATCCGGATCCCACTTCTGACACCAGATATTGACATTTAATAAGGATCAGGAGAAACAAATAGGCTGAATAGATGTTTATTCAGGAAGAAATAACTCACAACATAGACAGACGAACACCAGCAGGTTCCTGGTCCCAAGGATGACTCTGGATGTCCTCCTATCCCCGTGATGCCAGCAAGAGAGCTCTCCGAGACCCCCTCCTCAGCCTTAGTTCCCCCAGGTCACTTCCAGCCCTGTCTCCATGCCCCAATGGGCATGGTCTATGCCACAGGTGTGGACAAGGTGAATATCTCACTACAAGTAGCAGAGTTACAGTTATGAAGTAGCAATGAAAATAATTTTATGGTTGTGGTCACCACAACATGAAGAACTGCATTAAAGGGTTGCAACATTAGGAAGGTTGAAAACCACTGCTCTGTGTATTTGTGTATGCATCTGTTTTACTATATGCACATCTGTTTGACTGTGTGCATGTACTTGTGTGCTTGTGTTAAACTCATGAGCACACACTTATAACTTGGGTTATACTCACGGGTGTGTAAGTTCATTCCTTGTGGTGGTATAAAGATGAAGACTTACTTGCACCCAGGATATGAAATGATGAAAGTGTAAACTGTCAGTTTGGCTAAATCCAGGATACAAATGCCTGTGCATGTATATGTGGGATCATCTTGATCAGGTTATCTGAGGTTGGAAGACCTTTGCACTTGTAGGTGGTACTGTTACCATTCGTTACTTGAATTCGGGCCTTGAAAAGCAGAAAACAGACTAATAGCTGAACAGTTGCCTTCATTCATCACTCTTGCCCTCTTGACTGGGGATGTGATAATAAGCAGCTGCTTCAACATCCCTCCATTTTGGCTTCCCCACCATGGAGGACTATTTCCTTGATCTATGAGCCAGAATAAACCCTTTCTGGGGTAAGTTGTTTTTGTTATGTATTTTATCATACTAACAGGAAAGGTAACTAAAACAACTGGTATAGGGAATTTACGATAAGAGTGCATTTCTTACTTGGTAGCTCTGTTGCTTTGTGATTTATATTTGCACAATGCATGACTGAAGATTCACTCATTTTAATACTGAGTTACTGAATTACAATGTTTGTAATTCAACGGTATGAGAATTGTATCAAAATTACACATGTCTATATATTCATATCATGTCTCCTTAATAACCCAGACATTATCAATTCATATTTCTAATTGCCAGATTTTTCATTATCCTGGTTCTGAGCCAAGAAAATTAATTTTTTTTTCTCTTAGGGGAAATTTACAACATGGCTATTATTAAACCTGATGCTGTACTCAGGAGAAAAAATATAGAAGTTAAGGAAAAAGTAAGTAATAACAAAAGTTGTTTGACTTAATTGCAAAATAATAGCTTATGATAAAATAGAACACACTGTATTGCTGTTCCTAGCTCCCTCTATAGGAGTTTGCTTATTCTGTCTTACAAAGATCTCCCAGTGTATCTCCCTTGAATTATCTGCTTTATCACCACCCTACAGAAACTTTCAGAATTTTAGATATTAAATGGAATTGTTATAAAAGTTCTTTTTGTTTAGCTATTAGTGATACAACAATGCAATAAACTCACATTAGCTTGCTTTTTTTTCTTGTATATTACGAATAATGGCACTTTTCAATGCATGATAGTTTAAGAAGCCATTCAGTGCTTTCTTTTAGACCCAGAACACACACACACACACACACACACACACACACACACACACACACACACACACGTATATAAGATACAATTTTCAGAGTTCCTTACATATATGTGAAAATGATTTTAACTCAGATGAGTAAACACTTCTTGTAAAAAGTCAAAGTGACTAATGTCTTCTTTCTAGTTTTTTTTAAATTTAGTATCTTAAAGTGTTCCTTGTACTGATAGTGTTTCACCTGTTGGCTTAGGTTTTATTCCTAGGTATTTTCTTTTTGTTTTAATAAGGTTTTCTCTGTTTTTGGATGAGTGCATGTTTGTTACCAGTGCATAGAAATGCTGGTGATTTTGATTTTTTTTTTTTTTTTTTTTTTTTTTTTTTTCGTCTTTTCCACCCTGATGCTTTTCTGGAGTTTGTTAGCTCTGATTCTCTAATTGAGTCAACAAGATTGTTTAAGTATAATGTCATGCCATTTTCAAATGGGGATGACGTATCTTCCTTCTTATTTGAATTCCTTTTGTTTCTTTCTCATACATTCTAGCTTTATCTAAGATTCCTAGCTATGGATATCAAGTAGTGTATTGTATAAGAATAGAGATAGTAAAAACTCTTGTGTTATTCAAAAGTTTAGAGGCATGCTCTCACTGTTTCTGTGGCTATCATAGTATTGGCTGCAGGTTCTCCATAGACAGCTCTTATTATGTTTGGATGTGCTCCTCCTATCTCTAGTCTCTTCAGGGATTTTCTTATGAAAGGGTATTTAACTTGTCAAAGCCTTCTCTACTCAGGTCCAAATGAGCATTCTGTTTCTGCCCTTTATTCTATTTATATGCTTCATTACATTTATTGGTTTGTGTCTGTGGAATAAATCTTGCATCCTGAGGTGAAATCAATTTGGTCAAGTTGTATGATCTTAATGTATTTTTGAATATAGTTTGCAAGACTTTAAGAATTTTTGGGTTTGTGTTCCCTGGGGAAATTGATCTGTAGGTTTTTTTCTTTGTTGTGTCCCTCTCCTGCTTTGGTATCCATGCAATGCTGGCTTTAAAGAGGGAATTTACTAGTAATATTCCTTCAATTTCTGTTTTATAGGATAGTTGGAGGAGCATTAATATTTGCTCTTCTTTAAAGGTTTGGCAGAAATCATCTGGACCTGAACTTGTATTTGTTGAGCGGTTTTTGTGTTACTACTTCAATCTTTCTAACTTATGGATTCATCTAAGTTGTTTATATTTTCTTGATTGAATGTTTGTAGGTGACACCTATGAAATTTTTCATTTCTTCTAGATTTTCCACTGTTTTGAAATATAAATTTTCAAAGAACTCATTGATGCTTCTCTATATTTCAGTGGAATCTGTAGTAAATTCCCCCTTTATATTTCTTTCTAGGTCTTCTTTCTCTTTTAGTTATCTTGGAAAGATGTGTCCCATCTTATTCTATCAGAGAATTGAGTCTTTGTTTAATTGATTCTATATAATGTTGTTTTAGTCTCCAATTTAATAATATCTATCCTGATCCTTATTGTTTCTTACTATCACTTAGATTCTGCTTGGGGTCTAACTGTAAGTTATTTTCTTGAGAATTCTCAGATATTTTTTTCCTCCTTCCCAAGATACTTGTGATGTAAACATTAATAGCTGTAAAGTTCCCTTCTATACCTGTCTTAGGTATCTCTCAAAGGTGTTGGTACATCATTATAGTTTTATCGTTATTTGGTTTCAGGATCTTTTCAAATTTCCTGTTTTGTTGATTCAATGACTTCTTAACATTCAAAGGTGTATTATTTTGTCTCAATGAACTTATGTAGTTTCCATTTATTCCTTATTATGGGTTTCTAGTTTGATGGGACCATGATCTGATAGAATAAAGAGAGTTGCTTTCTTATATTTGGTAAGTATTTATGACCTAGAATGTGGTCTCTTTAAATATGTTTCTATGAACTACTGGGAATATCTTGCTCTATATCTGTCAAATGGAATATTGTTTATCTGTCTGTTGATGCATATCTGTTTGCTTTGAGGATGCATTGCTGATTTTCAGTTTGAATGATGAATCTGAAATTGAGACTTGGGTGCTGAAATCACCTATATCATGGTCAATCTGACTTTTGAGTTTCACTAGTGTTTGTTCCATAAAATTTATGGCTAAACATTTGGTTCATGTATAATTGTTATAGCATATATTCTTGCTGAATCATCCCCTTCTTAAATATGTAATGTCTTTAGGAAATTTATTCTTACTAATTTTTGCTTTATATATACCTAATCTGATACCAGGATTGTTATGTCAGGTTTTCTTCAGTTTCTGCTTCCTTGGTAGATTGTTATCTAATCATTTGACTCCCAGTCACACACCTTTACCAGTGAGGTGTGTTTCCTGGAGATCATAGGATCTAGTATTTCAATTGAGTTAGCCTTCAAAAACAGAAACATAGGAACAAAAGAAGCTAAAATAATTTTGACATGGAGAAGCATTTTCAAATTTCACTTGTATGAATAATTCAGACAGTTGTGTGTGTGTGTGTGTGTGTGTGTGTGTGTGTGTGTGTGTGTGTTTTCTTGGAATTATGTTCCTACTTTTCCCATCTTTTTATGTTAGGATTTCCAATTTTGAGTCCAATTTTGAAATTTTTTATTGAAGTTTTAAAAACATATCTGGGGAGTGAGTATCAAAGGAACCTTTTTATGAATTTCTGAGCTACTTCAGATCCTGTGAATTTTTTTGGGGGGGGGTCTTTACCTGAAAAGATTAAAACTAGGCAGTTACTAAGTTCTGAAGTAAATAGGTCTATTTTCTTTTACATGTGTTCCTTTGTCATGTTTACTTCTGACCTTACCTGAATTGAAGATTATCAAAGAAGGATTTGTCATAGAAGTACAGGACAACATGTTTCTCCCCGAAGAACTAGTGAGGGAATTCTATAGTCATTTAGCAGACCAGGTAAGAAGGTTTTTAAAAATCCACTGTGTACTTATTTACACACACACACACACACACACACACACACACACACACACACACACACAATTACAGTGGTTGCTATAAATATAGATTTTTATTATATATTAGAAAATTAACAAATCTAACCAACTGAATAAACTTTTGATGACTTGGTGATGTCCACACCCTGGTGATGGCAAAGATGGTGGCTCTGGGATTATCTCCAGTGTAAACAATAGCAACCAAGCAAAACTGAATGGTTTGTTTTTGAAGACTTCTTTCTGCTATGTTCTCTGGAAGGAATAGCCAATTCTTTCCCATCAACTTCCGGACTTGGCTGAAAGTTTTCCTTTCCATCTGATACACAGGGATGCTGTAACCTACTCTTTGTCTCTGTCCTTTCTCTAAGGCTATACCCCAGCAAGTTGTCTTCTTCCTGAAAGAATGAGGTAAAGGCAGTATTTCAAACAATTTTAAAGGGGAATGGTTAAGACTTTGAAAGGGAAACCTATATTTTAAAAAACATTCTGCCTATGTTATGGGCAGTAAATGCATGTGACTATTTGGATTTAAATTTATTCAAACTAAATAACATTTAGAAATTGGAGTCTTATTTATACTATCCATATGACTACTACTCAGTAGCCATATACAGGACTATTGTTAGGAAGTGCCCATTGTGTTACTCAAAGAGAAAACTCTGCTGGTCAGCACTTGAATAACTGTGCAATTCCAGAAATCTCTCTTGCTCTCCTTTTCCATATATAAAAAATAAAGGAAAAATATCTTAGGAATGTCATTCAGAAGCTATTATGTCAGTGAGATTGCTTTCAGTGTGATGAATATACCTGAAAAAAGTCAACTAAAAAGGAAGAAAACTTCACTTTGCCTCATGACTTCAGACATTTTATTCCATGGTGTCCTGGAGCCACAACTTTGGTGTCTGTGGTGAGGCAGAACATCATGTTCAGGAGATCATGGTAAACTAAAGCTGCTCACTTCATGAAGTCTTGAAACAAAGAGTAATTGAAAGGAGATATCAGACTCCTAGTTACTGCTTCAAGAATATACCCAGTGATTGCACAGCCTTCCATTTAAGAGTTTAATTTGCTTTCAGTAGCAATCACGTGGCCATTGGGGAACATTTTGGATCCAAATGTGAGAGTTATTGACTTAGAAACTCTGGGATAGAGCACCAAAAGTTCTCCCCACCACATCTCTCTCTCTCTCTCTCTCTCTCTCTCTCTCTCTCTCTCTCTCTCTCTGTGTGTGTGTGTGTGTGTCTGTTAGTTCTCTGTACAATATATTTATTCATTTTCCCTCCTTTCTCCCAACTCCTTCTAGATTTGCCTCCTCTTCCCAACTCACACAACATAGTGACCTCATTAAAAGGACAAAACAAAATAAAAACGCCATCATGTTTTTTAGTGACACCATGCATAAGATCAGTTCAATCAGAAACCAAGCAAAATCCCAGCATGGAGAGCGGAGGTGTGCATGAAGTCCCACCCTTAGCTATGGTGCTATTAGCAATGATAGCTGCTGGGAGATAATTCATTTTATTCTAGTTTTGGGCCCCTGAACCATGATCCAGTTAAAGACCTCAAATCCAAAAGTATATAAGAAGCTGAAGGCATTTTAACTAGCCCTTCAGGAGATTGCCCACATTCTGGTGTTTGGAAGTAGTTGTTTGCACTATCTTTAAAAAAAAGAATAAAATTATTTTCTATTGGCTGCAAATGTTTATTGTGTAAAAAATGTTCCTGCAAACAGAAGATTTATAAGGGTAACATAGCATTACTAATAACCATGAAAGGGAAGATGTCACTGTTATTCTTTTTTTTTTTCACAGTGACACCCATTTTAATGCCCCTGTGTTGGGATCCCAAGGGAAACATTTCTCTTTTTTTGTAGCCCGACTTTGAAGAGTTTGTATCATTTGTCACAAGCGGCATAAGCTGTGTGCTCATTATATCTCAAGGCCACGAACAAGAGGTTATCCAGGAAGAAACTCAACCTCAGGATGAAGCAGAAGAGGAGGAATCATCTGAGCATCAGGAAGAGACTCACATTAAGTTTGCACCTGTGGTGACAAAGAAGAAACGGGACAGGTAGCTAAGGCCAGAACTTTATCACTCCTAATGTGTCACTTGGTGATGGAGCATAATTCCCAAAGGTCTCAAACATTTTATTTTTTTATCTTTTTATTTTACATGTTGATCCCAGTTCCCTCTCTCTCCCTCCCTTGCTCCCTCTCTCTACCCTCTCTCCCCCCTCACATGCATCCTGACCACCCTCCCCACCCATCCCGGTCTCAAACATTTTTAATGTAGATACCACAAGTTTTCTTTTCAGCCAACCTAGAATATTATGTGTTCAGAAAATGGGCAACTTCCCTGAATGTTTATGACAGGAAAATTAGAAAAGGAGTAGTTTTTCCTGCTGAGCTCTCTAAGCCTGGCACACCATCTGGCCTCATTGTCTCAGGCCTAGAAGGTATATTAAAAGCATCCACTGTCTCAGTCAACCCTGCCCATATTCCTACATTTTCTTCCATCTTCTAGGCTCCCCTGTCTTACTTAAGTCAGTTACTGGTATAAAATTGATGGTGACAAAATAAATGTATACTTTGGCAATAAATTTCCAAATATTTCAAAATGAGCATGCAATTATCAGAATGTTGGTGTTATGTGTTGCTGTCCATGACCCTTATTCTGCTAAAGACTAAAAGCCATAGTTTGATACAACAATTTTGCAAAGACATGCCAGAATGAGTTTGGTGAATAAAAGGCTTTGCAGCTCTGTGTCCCAATGATATTGCATTGTCTGTTGGGGAATTAGAGGATGTTTCCTCCTTTCTTTATAAACTGTAAGTTTTCCCTATGGTTTCTGATCACTTCATATTTCTCTGGTAGCAGTAATTCTAGAATTTGTTTTGCTATTGTATTACTGGACCTAGAACCTACCCAAGTACTCTACCCTTGAACAAGTTTTTTGATGTCATTTAAGATTTTAAGCAGGTTAGAACAACACAAAGGGGAATTCAGTGGATGCTGAAGGGCACCAGCAACAGTGGGAGTTACTTTCAGAGTGATACTATGTGGGCAGAAAGAAGTTTCATATTGTGTTATTAAGCTCTAATTCATTAACATATAAGTTTTCATACAAGTTTGTACCTTAAATTACAATAACCTTAGGTTATATTTTGTATCTCAACAGTTTGCAAGAATATTTGGAACGACAACATATATCTGAGTTTTGTGATGTTGAGGATAATGTGTCTAGGGTTTCTGTGTTCATTGACATGTTATTCCCTGATTTCAAAACCATGAAAAGCATGAATATACAAAGAACCTTGGCATTACTGAGGCCAGAAGTCTATGAGGAAAGAAAAGGTAGGAAGTGAAGCACAAAGTAAGAAGTTGGCGGGTAGGATTTGAAGGTTGAGGTATCACTTTCTCAATAATGATGGGCAAAACAACTTTAGCAGAACTTATAAAGCACTTTCTAGCCTGTGACTGGCTAGAGTCTGTCTCACTATTGTCAGGACACATAAAAGGACACAAGGAGCCTGGACAACTACCTTGTGTTTGCACTGCCTCAGCACAGAGCTCTGGCAGAGGCTTATCCATGGTGTGCCCTAAGTAAGATGTTGTATCAGGTCTATTTCATTTGTAAAAATCAGTAGATTAAGATGACAAAGCATACATAGAGTGCCTGGTACTTCGAGTGTTAGTTTCTATTTTGCTTGCTTGTTTTTCAGTACTGGGGGTGGCTCACAAGCTCTTGTTCTTGTAGCAAAGCACTTCAAACTGAGCTAGTGACCAATCCCTAAGTGCTGAACATTTTAAATCCCATTCTGTAGTTACGAAGCAAATCAAATACCCCAACATGAGTCCAGAGGTTCTAGATAATACCATTCATTCATTCATTCATTCATTCATTCATTCTTTCATAATTTTTTGTTTTGTATGCCTGGTGTCTGGAAACACCATTTGTATAGGGAGCTTTGGCACAATACAGGGATAGCATCATAAAATACTGTATTGTAACTCTAGCTCTATTTATACTTTGGCCAGGTAATTTTTTTGAGGAGTGGGTGCATAGCTCATCACATGCTACATTGTCAAATGTTTACCATCACTTTTGGCCTCTAGATGTCAGGAGTTCCCTTCCAAGCTAAATTGTAACAGCATGGATGTCTCTAAACATTGTCAAAGGCCCTGAACAGGACTGAAAATCATTGAGAATTCCATTTTGTCATCTGCCTTGGGGGTATACAAGTTCTCCCTTTCCATCCCTGTGCCTTGGTTTCTTCTGCTTTTTGTCTTTGAACAGGCTGAAGTATCTGTAAGATGCTGATTAGGAACTAATGTTGAACAAGAGTAGTGAGACACCATATTTTAAAGCAAAAGGCTCAGATTTTGTAACATTCAGTGCACTATTAGCTATTGATTATGGAAATTTCCACATATTAAGTGGCTTAAGGTGAATTTTTTTTTTGCCAATGCTCTTATTTTTATTTTGTTTTTCATGGCTAGGGATTGAGTAGATAGTATGACTTATTGTAAATGAATGCTGTCATGTTGCAAACAATTTATTATTTGTCTACTGCAGCCATGTATTTTTCTATACTTGATAATATGGTGGATTGCTTTACTTTTTGAAGACTGAGCCAGCCTTGCATATGCGCTTGCTTCTTGTGTGTTCTGAAGAACTTTTGTGTCTGTATATGTGGGAAATATTTGTGGTTTCTTTTATGATAATTTGGTTTGTGTGTCAAAATAATGTGAAACTTACATAATGAGGGAAAAGAAAGTCTTTTCTGCCATGTTTTCTGGAAGAGGCAGAATGTTATTCATTTCAAATGTTTCCTAAATAGTTCCTTGGATTTGTTAGAGAAGTTGCTTGGGCCTGGAATTTTCTGTTTGGGAGGTTTTACTCTTTTTTGTTTCTTGTGATTTTTTTTTGTTTTGTATTTTGTCCTTTTGGAATTTTTATCACGAACATGTTGCATTTTAAATGAATAGACTTTATGCTTTTTTTGTCAAACAAGTATCTCATAGCTCCCATGTGCAGAGTTATACTCCTGCCCTGCTTTTCTTGTTTAAACTATCTTGTATTATTATAATATATTGTAATTAATGCTGTAATACAATTACTCTACCTAAACTCAAGTTCATAGTGTGCATGCACTCTTGGTTTTGAACAATCTAGGTGTGGAGAAAACCACATGGTGTCATTTACCCTATGGCAGATTAGAACAGCATGGAGTCTCAGGCCTGAATGTCCCTGTGCTTCCCTTTCTTGTGCACACCCTACCAGAGCTGAGCTCTTTTCTGCCTTTTCAGTTTGTCTTTCCAGAATGATGTCATTGAAACTTCACAGCACACACCCCTTTCAGATTGACTTCTTCCACTTACCAGGGTTGACTAGTATTCTTCAGATCTTTGAAGTTTCGTTGCTCATTGCTTAATAAGTATTGCTGAATAACATTCAGTTGTAAGAGTACAGTAAGAGTGATTTATTAAAGGACATTTTGTCCAGGTTCTTTCACTTTCAAGAATGAACTGCCACAGACATACATGCAGAGGTTCCTGAGTTGACATAAGCTTTCAGTTTAACTAGATAAATAGCTGGGACAATGATTCCTGGACCATGTGGAAAGTTGTATTTCAACTGTGTAAGAAACTGCCAGAGTGCATTTCATTGTAGCTATACTATTTTTTATTCTATTATTAATGAATTAGAGAGTTCTTCTTAGCCTGCATCTTTATCAACCTTTGTACTGTCAGTTTTGTCTGAACTAGTAGATACACAATGGTACCTTATTGCTGTTCTTATTTGAGAGTCCCCCATAAAGTGTATGTAGCTCGGCATTTTTTTTTTTTTTTTTTGGCATACATACTAGTGATGCCTATATCTTTCTTTATGGTGTATCTCTTTAGATCTTTTAATATTAGCTTCCAGAGTGGATATCAAATGAGCCTGACCATAATAGATGATAAATATTTCAAATAATAAAAAAATGCTCTAATTTAATCATTTGATGAAATCATTGACTTGTATACTAGTATGTTTTCTTACTATTAAACTTTCTGATTTTTTTGTATATTTTGATCCTAAGTCCTTTTCATATATATGGCTTATAAATATTTTCTCAGATGTTTTGTTAATGAATTTTATAGAAAAATATTTTAAATAGTCCAATTTGAATTGCATGTTACCATAATTTACATTATTATAAAGTAATTATACATAAGACTGATGAATGTATATCATAGTTGTTATTGGTTTTTATTATTTGCAATTTTTCTTGACTTCTTTCCCTTTTATGTCTCTCTTTGTGTGTTCTTTAACATTAATTGAGTATTAAAAGATTTTTCCCTCTTCTCTTAGCATATTGTAAGAAACTAATTTATTCTTCTCACCTAAAAAGTATAAGTGTATGTGGTGACAGAGCCTTTAAAAAAGCTGTTCGAGTTAAGTGAGATCATAAAGGTGAGTTTACACAGGGATTGATGCCAGGACTCTCCAGAAAATATTATTGTGATATAATAGGACATGGCAAGTTGCTCTTCTCCACCCGCACACAACCAAAACAGACCAAGTAAGAGCATGCACATCTGCAGTAAAAGTGTACATGTCCCTAAGCTGGAAAGAAAGACCTCAGTGGGAACCTAACTTCCTGGCATCTTGATCTTTCACTTCTGTGAGAACTTCTAGAACTATGAGAAAATACATTTTTGCTGTTAAATCCACCGAATCTCTGATAATTTTCATAGCAACTCAAGCTGCGAGAAATTTCAGTTTACTGAAGATCAGATGAGACATCTAGCTTCCTGAAGTGGATTTTTAGACTTTTGGGTTGTAGACAGCAAGTTGTTTTTTTTTCACTAGCTGAACCACAGCCTGTAAGCGACTCTAATAAATCATATGCAATGCAAATAACAAATAATGCAGATAACAAGTACTACTGATAACAGCACTCAATGAAGATAACAAACAATGCAGATAACAAGTACTCACTGTGGGAAAACAAGCAATGTTGATAACAAGCAATGCAGATATTAAAACTCATTGTGGATAACAAGCAATGAAGATAACAAACACTGTGGATAACAAGCAATGCAATGTAAAAGGAGTTCTTAATTAATCTAGATAATAAAAGGCCAGAGTCAGATATAGAGGGAAATACTGAGAGATCAGAGAGGAGAAATCCACAGCACACCTTACCTTATAAGCGTCTATGCAGAGAAGAGAGCAATTTCCTGTTTGTCTCTGCTTATATCTTGTTTCTGCCGAGCTAAGTCACTTCCTGTCTGTCTGTACAGATCTCCACACCTCTATGGTTAGCTAGTGGCAAGCTCCATTCTCTGACTCTCAGACAGGCTTTACTTGTGCAAGAAAGATATCACCACTATGCAGATAACAAGCATTCACTGTGGCTAACAAGTACTGTGGATAACAAGCAATGTGGATAGCGAGCATTCGCTGCAAATAACAAGCAAAGTAGATAACAATAGTCCAGATAACGAGTACTGTGTCATGACAAGTACTGCACAAAACATTACTGCAAATAACAAGCACTGTGGATAACAAGTAGTGCGAATAACAAGTAGCATCAATAACAAGTAGTGAAGAACTGCAGATTACATTAGTATGGATAGCAAGTTAACTTTCTCCTGTGCTTTTCTTCCTTGAGGAGATATATATATATATCTCCTCAACCACTGTTGAGCACTGTTATAAAGATAGCAGTATCACACCAAGTGTGCAATGTGAGGGAGAGGAAAAGACTATTATGATGCTTCTTAGAGGTGTATTTAAATTCTAAATCAATTACAAAGGGCAGGATCCAGCCATCCAAACCCTGAGGAAATCATTACTTCAGAAAATGTCTACAACTATTAAAAATAGATGCTATTCTTTGTAGAACTATGAAATTCTGGGATAGCAACCCAAACCAAGTAGGGCAAGAGCATTTTTTGGAATGATGAAAGGATGGATAGGCCAAAGGAAGGAGTCAAGTTTAATATTTGATACTCTTCTAAATAGAGAGTGTAAGTCCAGCCAAGTCCTGGCCTGTCACTCTACCCTCTGGCCATGTGTGGCAATCCCCTCTCTATCACCAACTACAGCCACTAAGATTGACTTTGGCAGGTAGAACTAAAGTTACCTAAAGATGTTCATGCTATGATCCACGCAAACTGTGGGTATGTTACCTTACATGATCAGAAAGACTCTGCAGGTGTGATGAGGTGAAAAACTTTGAGATTCAACCACCCTGTTTTTTCCAGATGGCTTGATCAGTCTCATGAATCCTTAAAGATGGAGAAGAGAGCAGGACTGTGCCAGACAGACAGTAAGAAAGAAGTCTATGGCTCACCATTGC